ACCTGGTGTAGTGGAGGGTGTCCCTGCCCATGGCAGGGGGGTTGGAACCGGATGATCTTTGAGGTCCCTTCCAACCCAAACCATTCTATGATTTTATGATCCACACTGCTTGCCTTTTCTGCCTTTGGCTGTTTATCATATGGTCTCCTGAGAACACCGAACCCAAATTTGTTCTCTAGCCTGTTTTTTAGGTTAACACCTTACTACCTATGAAGGTTGAGCTGCAATGAGAGGACAAACTTCACATATACAGACAGTTTCCGTCCTTTGCCCTAAGTAATAAAGAACAGAGAATCAATAACCAACTTAGGTATCAGAAATGAATTCTTACATGCTATAGATAGACCTAAAAGCCTGCAAAAAAAATGGCTTTGTATTGCTCTGTGCTCTCACCAGAACTGACTAACAGGTGTTGCAGAATAAACACACTCTGCTTAGGGGGCTCAGGCCAGGCCAGAGCAGTTCATTGCTACGGCTGTAGGAGAGGAAGCAGAGCGGCAGAGGTTCAGCTCTCCCTCCAAACTGAGTTAAAACAAAAGTACGAGGGCAAATATGCATTTACAGCAGATCCCAACAGCTTTGTGAAGGAGCCTGATACGGCAGAGCAGCATCTGTGCAGCAGGAACCTTTGTCAGAGCAGATGTACCCCTCTGCTCCTCTTCTATGTTTTTCTGACCACCTAAATGACTCAAAAGTATACTTACTCAGTAATGGAGGCCTTCACGCTGCTTAGCTGTGGGAATCTGATTTAGGTTGCTTGATGGAGAGACAAAGAAAAATCTGAGAATGTCAACTCTGAGAACCAGAGTGACACTGGAAGGGTAAGTGTAACACCACAGGAAAGAAATAGATACTAGGAAGAGCTCTTTCTCTGTGTAACAACCTTAACTGTACTATTGAGGCCTTTCCACATTAATTTGAACTACGAGTGGGTATTATTGTAACTGGTCTAATACACTAACTAGACTAAACCAGATGGTTTTCACACTGAAACACCTGGGATCCCCTTTCTTGTGTTGTTCCTTTTGTTTTATCTGATCTATTTCCCATTCATTTTCTTTACCAGATTTATTATCAATACTTTTATTGTCAACCTTTTCTTACTTTTGCCCTTCTTCCACTCCAGATATTCTGTGCTCGTTTTAACGCACAAAAGGCTATACATAAAATCCCCAGAGCTCTCACAATCACCAAAATGCCCAGTGTCCTGGATATCATACAGCTTCGACCTGAGGCAAACTAATTTCTATGGATCCTTATTGGAAGCCTCCATGACAGACCTCTACAGCAGTGCCTGTTGTGCACAGGTGTTACCAATGCTACTCCAGACATTTCTGATTGACCTGGTTAGCTGTGGTGCACTCACTTAGGTCAATTTGACGTCCAGAACACTAGCAGCTACATCTGCCACTGAAATCAGCGGACACTTTGCTCTCCATGGTTTCACTTCAGAAGAACGAACCTCACAGAAGGCTAGGAGACAGCATCGGTAGTCAGGCTCTGAAGAGGCACAAAAATCACAAAGTGTATCAACATCAGCTCTTTGCACCAGAGGTGACCATGCCAGCAGCACTGGCAGCAGCAGAAATGAAGACAGAGCTGAATGCTCCAGACTACAGGACTAGCACAAAGCTGGAAAACAGCTCAGGGCCAAGGCAGCACCGAAGGAAAATAAACACTAATGCAACCAAAGCCATCTGGTGCTGGCTGAAATCAGTCTCATAAGGTTTTGCCTCAGGTGTGGCTGGAAGGAACAGTTGTCAGCACTGATTTTCTTGGTGCAGAAGGATGGCCCGAGTAGCTAGGCATTAGCCTGTAGCAATCACCACAGCCTCCAGACATGCAGTGTGCTGGAACCCAGAAGAAGCAGAGAAGGTGACTAGATGGCTTGTAAGGCACTTCTCATTTGGTCTTTCTTAAGCTAGTAGCTTTCAAGGATACTAAGGACAAGGCAGAATGATCTGGCACAGATGAAATGACCCAGCCTCCTGGATCTGAAGACTTAATCCTTCTGGCATGAAGCCCCACAACTTGGAAGCTACTATGCTTCATCCGTGATACAGAAGAGCAGTGGAATTTCTCAGGCACGTTGTTCTAAGCTGGGACAATAAAAGTATGTCTGGAATGAAAGTCATACAATGGAACATGACTATCACAAGTGGTACCGAAAGATGCTTTTGAAATTGAAATATAATCAAAAAGAGTCAGACACAAAGTATTGCAATTCAGTGAGGAAATAAGAACTGAAGCGTGCGTCACGCCTTCTGTCATTCACAGAGCAAAAATGCCAGCCACACGTAACCACAAAGACAGATTAACGGGTGGCAGAACTGCAGAATGGATGTTTGAACTAAGAACTTGCTTCTATAGCTAAGCAAGAGAGTGCAAAGCAATCCGATGAGAAACAAAATATTTATACAATATTTTAATTGTGTAAATACATAAAATATACTATTTTATAAAACACATGATTTTGCTATAAATTTTGAACTGTCTGTACCAGCTATTCCAAGCCAGAATTTTACATTTCCAGCGAATATTTGGAAACATTGGTGAATTCATTTTACTTCTTAACTGTCTTTATCAGGGAGTCTAGAATAGGAGGTATAAGACATGAGGGGGGATCTTGTAAAACTCCATTCACACCCAAAACAGCCAGTAGGCTTTAAGATATTAATCTGAAGTAGATGTAAAAACAAACTGGCAAGTCAGAGCAAGCTGAAGTTTGTGTCTCAATTAAATTTAAAGGATGATGCTACAGGCATTGATACAACAGGCAATACCAAAAGCAGTGTGCATCCCACCTAATCAAGCAGAACTGCAGGAAGGGGATGACTTTTCTTTCTTTAATGAGCAGCTCAGCGCTGTTGAGAGGACCAAGAAACACAACTTGGTCCTCAGGTGCCAATAAAGATTTACAAGAACCAGAAGAAATTGTGAAGTGCTTGCTGCAACTGAAAGAGACTGAAGTGACTGAAGACAAGGCTGAAAGCATAGATGTGCCTGCAAGGACACAACGTGTAGGAGAAAGAATTAGGTGTAAACTGTATGTTGTCCGACTCACTCTGATTTAGCTATTTCATTACCCAAGCTCACAGCTGGCTTCAGCAGAATAAAAGCCTTTTGACCTTCTTGTGATCAAAAGAAGAACAGACTGACACCACATCGGAGCTCTGGCAGTCGTGGTCCCACTACAATGAGAATCTGCATTAGCAAAGCTCACCCCTTCACATGGTTATCATCGGAATATTCCGGAGAGATGCAATACACCCTCCAGAGGCCAGAACTGCAGTGTTATGTTATAGGGAATTTCCTCCTGCCCCTACAGCAGAAACAACAGTTCATTCTGTGTTATTTCAAAAGACCAACAAGAACACAGTGGTGTTTGCTTCTTTTATTACGAAAGATACAAAAACACAGAATGTAGTGAAGCTATCATCAGAAATGTGAACTTTTTTTGAACCAGCTTTCTATTTACATACACAAAATTCCCCAAGTGGAACAATATCAAATGTGAGACACATTATCAGAATATATCATATATACAAGTTCAGAGATTTAATGTCTCTGTTACTCTATACATAATTGTTATACAAAAAGTCAATTCCTACCTGGTCTTACACAAGTATTTTAAGTTAGGTTGATGAGACTACTCCAAGCAGAACGTGGGCAAAGTTCTGCTATCTGAACAGTTACTTTATAAATAATGTACAAAATAACAGAGCCAGGTTTTCAGCCAGGCTCAATCTTCTGTTGTGTCAAATAGCCCGTGCTCCAAATCAATGAAAGTAAAATAATTGGAAGCTATTACTGACATACAACTTGAAGTATCTCAGGAGTCAAAGATGCACTGGTTTTCAGATCACTGATCAGTTATTAGGAAAAGCAAGCCTTTTTATTTATTTTTTTAAAAACTCTTCCTTCAAACAGAAAAGCCAGATAAAATACTTGAGCTTGCTTTGCGTGATCAGACATTCTGTTTCAAAAAACAATAAAAGAGGACACATCGCTCCGTATTGTTTTTAAACTGGAATCAACTACTGCTTAGTGAAATAAGGCACTTCTTCCTTTAGATCAGTGCACTCCCCTAGGTTTTAGTTTAGCTCCATTTTACACAGAGAAGTGATTTCAGCCATGCCACTTGTGACAGCAAGAGGGATGTTGTTCAGAACTGTCACTCTCCAAGCATGGATGGCCTCAACAATACCCTCTGGATTGCTTGAACCCAAGTCACACAGCGAATATATGGCTGCCAGCTGCACACCCCAGGGGACATCTGCAAAAAGTTAACACAAATCAGCATACAGAAACCTTGATGTGCATCAATGTTTTTGGGAAACCCGAATCTAAAGACACTATTAGTTCAAGAATTGGAATTAAAACGCAGCAACAACTGGGATGCCTAAACCCAGAAAGCAGCAAGATTACAATCTGCACACAAATTCCCTAACATTTTATATAGTGCTTTCCAGTTTTCTGAATTCAGCAGGTATTCAGTATTCAGAATTTGAGCATCTAGTGATTTTACTCTAGTTCAGGGTGGTCAGACTTTTATGAAAACAGTCAAGTTTACACGGTCTGAAACAGACACAGACATATCCCACTTACTTGGAAGCACCTGAGATGACCAGGAAGAGAAGATGTACAAGTGGGTCCGAACAGCTCCCTAACATCAACCGATGCTTCACTGCAGAGAGTACTTAGCATCCAGGATAACTTAGCAATACAGATCCCTGCTGCCGACCTGCCTTGCTTTGTCTCAGGAATTTGGACTGTCTTGCAACCCTCTCCCAACACAACAATCTTGCCAGTAGCAAGCTGCAGCATGAGCTGCTCAGGTAACAAATGAGCTATTACTGCTCACGTTAAGATCACCTTTTCAATTCTCTGAGGCAGCTGATGTGCTGTTACATAAAACAGTGCAATTCTGAGATGGCTGAAACTATCTCGGAGTTGTTCTCTGTCTCAAACAGAAGGTTATGCTTCGGGAAAGGAAGGGACTCCAACTGAAAGCCGTTTGTACTGTTACGCACTAACACAGAGCTGTACAAGCTGTTTTGGCACGTGTGTCTCAGTCTGTGTGTGTTCTGTTTACTGCAACACTGCAGATGTTACACTAAAGTTCCTCTAAATAAACGTTACCTTCCTCTTTTGCGTGCTGTACGAACAGTCCAATTACAGAACTAATATTCTTCACTGCGGCCAGACATCCTTCCTTCAAACCTATTTGGCCCAATCGACCTGAAAGAAAAAAAAAGGCTCCTGTGTGTCTGACATTTGGACAGTCAACTTCCTGATTTTTCCACTTACCGATTGTCTTTTGAAGCATCAACAGAAAACGCACATTTCTATTACAAAAATTAGTCAGTCATTCTCATTACCACGTTGTCTTGGGACCAACAGTTGTCCTATTCCTTTTGTGACTAAAGACCCCGAGGCATTTTTCATCCGATTGTTCTGACCTCCCACAGGTTTACAATCTCTAAGTGTAAAACTCTCAAAGAATGCAATTTCTGTTTAACAAACAGTATTATATAGTCTTCAGACTGAAAATATCTATTGAAACACAAAGTTTATTTATTTACCTGAAGCCATCTAGATCCCAAATAAACGAATCTAACTTAAAATTAAAGGAAGAGGTATTATGTTGCATGCAAACCCCTATTTTATACACTATAAAGCAGATGTAGCTATAGAGTATTTAATTTTCAATACGTAAACATGTTGGAAATAGGAGTAACATCCCTCAATACTTAAGCACATGCTTTCCACAGGCTGACAAACAGAAAATATCTGCGTAAGATTGTAAAAGTTTGGCTTTTTAGGTGAAAATTTTTGAAGAAACTGAAAAAAAAAAAACCAAACCAAACAAATCCAACACATCAAGATCCAAAAAAAGCAAAAATACTTCAATTCACTTTCCAGGCAGGCTGACACCTTCAAAGGACAAACTTAACCAAAGCAGAAGATTAACCAAGAATTTAGATTACTTACCAATTAGCCTGAGTGTCAACGCTATAACACTATCCGGAATGGATTGAGCAGTTTCATGCCCCTTTCTCTTCTTTACCCATTGATCCATAGAAGGCCAAAGCACTTTGCTGTGAAAGACATAAGAATTTGAACACCTGATACCTGCATGAAGGGGCAGTACGATATTTATGCAATAATGAATGCAAATGGTTCTTCTGTTTACCATCTATTTCCATAGCTCCACTTGCATCTTTCATTCACCTTCTAGGAAAACTCATAATATTCCAAGCACGCACAAATCTGAGTCATGTAAAGAAGGTTTTAAACCCAAACAATCAAAGCTAATTTTCTGGAGGAATCATTCCTGTTCAGACTAGTACTCCAGTCCATCTTCCATTCATTACCCTGCAACACTCTGCACCTTTACCTAAAGTCAAGATCTTACTCCACCAACTTCATAGACATGTATGAAATTACACCACTTTCAAATGTCATGCTGAGACGTTAGAAAAGCTTCTTACAAGACTGAAAATTCACGGCTTGCACGTTACTAGCAGGATCTGATTCCTGGTTTTAAACCTGAAAGGACCTGAGCTAAGACATCCCTTAAATGATGCTGACAGACCTGGTTACCTATTATCAGCACAACAAGCAACTCTGTATGGCTTTAATTAAAACGACACACCTTTCACTGACGCTAATTTGTATTCATTTTAATAGTGTTTCACTAAAAATAACTTCTTTACTATTTGAAAGCATGGAACTTGTATAAAAGACTTGATGATGACTGTAAGTTGTGGAGTCTCCTTCTCTGGAGATATTCCAAACCTGCCTGGACGCATTTCTGTGTGATCTGATCTAGGTGGTCCTGCTCCGGCAGGGAGATTGGACTAGATGATCCTTTGAGGTCCCTTCCAATCCCTGACATTCTGTGATTCTGTAAGTTATTTGCATTTGCTTTATACTCCATGATTACATTATGTCATAATGAAACAAATGCCATATTTTTGGAGATTCTACTAGGTTCTGTAACCTCTACATAGAAAATAGGACCTGTCAGATCAGTGCAGGTATCAAAATGAAGTCTTTCAAACCACCTGAAGTATGGTAGTAGTCCACACATTGGGTTATAGGGTTCAAAGAAAATTTAAAACATTGAATCTAAGTATTATAATGATTTTAGAATTAAAATCAGACTGAAATCAGGAGAGTACGCTAACGAGCATGGTTACATTTCACTTTCAGCACTGGAGGAGTGCTATTTATACAACAAAAGTTCCACTCGCATTTTCTAGTGATGGGGAGAGAGGAATTCAACAAGGAAGACAAGAAATCATTTTGCTTTGTTGACAAACAATCCATCTCAAAAATCTTTCATAATTGTCCACATATAGCTGTTTTAAAAGCAATTCTTCATTAGAACGGTTCCAATAGGGTTAACTTCTCGGACCAGTACCATAAAATCCTGCATTTCCTCATTGATCACTCATTCTATCTTAAAATAAGGCACACAAACACAGCAGGCTAGGTCTCACCAGGTTAGAACGCCCTCATTTCTGAATATCTATGCAATGTTTTATTATGTCAAAAGCTAAGCCATAATGTCTCCAATTTGGGAAAAAAAAACCCCACAAAACAACACCAAAGCAAATCACAAAAAATCCCACACAAGAAAACACGTGAAAGAGCTGCTTGCCACCATACCTTATAACATTGTCATGGGTCCAATCCCACTTGAGGTGAGAGCAGAGTAGGTCAACAGCAAATATGTACTGCCAAGCAGCTTCACTCAGATCTTCTCCGTACTGCTCACTCGCTTGAAATTCTACTTTTGGACATGACTGCATTTCTAAAAGCAGGTTTGAGACCATAATACCAGCATCTAAAGAGGAACTCTGGAATTTCAGAAGGTGATTATCTTAATGCACGAAAAGTTCCCAAACCAGAACCAAACTCTTTGCATCCATTTGATTCTGACTTACATCTTAAACCATAAATTCAACTTTGGGTTTGACTTTAAACACACGAAAAAAGTACATAAACTAAAATCTTCAAGTACTCAGTATTTTTCTTGATGTTTTTACTAAAAGGAGAGTTTGGGGAAAACAAACAAACAAACAAATAAGAAAACCCACAAAACCTACACTCTCTTCTCTCCTCCTACAATTTGTCAATTTTTATTTGTCTCAATGAAGCTTTCAGGTATGAAGAGCGTTTTCCAATGCAAAATTAGTCTAATCCTGCTAAGCTTTTTTTAAAAAAATAAATTATTTTCCGATGCTGAAATTTGTTACTGTTTATTGTTCACTAGAGGCTAATTTCCAAGTAAGTACTTTCAATAGTTTAGGTAGTAATAACTGAAAAGATGTCATGTGAAACAATTAATAGCTAGGGCAAGCAAGGAGACTTAAAAACAACCACTCTTTGAATATCTGAAGTATTAAGAAAAAAGTCTGGCCTTATCACAGAAACACAGCAGGTGCTCAGCACATCTTACCAGTACAAAAGCTCATATTTGGCAAGTTCTGCAGTGGCACAAGTTACTAAATCAGCATACTTTGACCAAGAACTAAATACCCATTGTAGAGCAGCTTTACTTCAAAACGAGAATAATCTTTTCATAAAATTCTATGTATAACAGACTGTCGACCACAATCCTCTCGAAATTTGTCAAGCCTGGCATTAATGTGGGTGTTTTGAAACTATCGGGGCACCCTAGCCTTCAAACACAGAAGCCTGTGGCACAAACTCCTTCTCCAGAATCAAAGCACCCTTGCTTTTCCATCTGCATGATATAAATTTACTCCTACTGATATCAAGTGTGTCCCTATTTGTCCTCTTTCCAACATCTCTTTCACATGTGGCTGCTGAAAACTGACACAAATACAATGACTCAAGGGCTCAAAGACTTGAAGTCAAATCTCCGAAGTCCTTAGGTCCTGAACATTGGTCATCCTTCTTCTGCCATCACTGCAGTTGTGTACTGATCATGCCAACTGCTTATGAAATTATTAACTGGCTGATATTTTTTTTGTGATAAATGGCTATTTACAGTCTACCTCACAGAAAGACCATGACTAAAAAGAGACAGGCTCATCTTGAAATTAAGTGTGATAAATAGTTATCTATTACACAGTGAACTATGAAAGACAGATGAGCCCAATAGTTTACTTTTAATGTTTAATAGAGAGATTAGTACTTAATAGTGAAAAACAAGAAAAGTGTTGGGTGTAGACAACCACTGGAAAAAGGCCTGAAGCAGCATTAGTTGTGCAGTTGTACAGACTCCACAGGAGATTCACAGGGTATTTTCTCACCCTTCATCAGATTAGATCTAAGGAAGAAATTATTCACACTGAGGGTGGTGAGGCACTGGCACAGGTTGCCCAGAGAAGCTGTGGCTGCCCCATCCCTGGAAGTGTTCAAGGCCAGGCTGGATGAGGCTTTAAGAAACCTCGTGTAGTGGAGGGTGTCCTTGCCCATGGCAGGGGGGTTGGAACCGGATGATCTTTGAGGTCCCTTCCAACCCAAACCATTCTATGATTCCATGATTTGATTCAGCCAATGCAGACAAAAGCCAGTACTGACAATGAAAGCAGATGTTACCTGTTCCCAGCTGAGATAAGCACTCAGGCAGGTCAGCATCTCATCGCTCGCACTCTGCCTGACAACTAATTGCATAGCTTTGTTGATTGCACCTTGGAAGACAAATATGTCAGGCCATACGTTTGTGATAAATAAAATCAATTTTTCTGAGTCTGGAAAGTCTAAGGGAAAAAAAAGAGAACAAAGTAACTTTTTAACATCTAAAATCAAGGCATTATATACTTAGGCATTAAAAGTTAGTATGCTCTTCAGCAAGATAATGAGGAAAGAAGGCACAGAAGTCATGTAATAACTGCCACCCAGGGAAAGGGAGTCATACTAGCACATCCCAGTTCCGAGATTAAATAGGAATAAAAGACCCAAGAAAAAGAAATCCCCCCCCGCAAGCCACCTCCCCCATTGTAATTTCACTTTTTTTTTTAAGAGGGAAAAAAGAAAAAGGCTTCACTGGACTTTGCAGTGTAACGACAGTGAAAAAGGACCTTTCCTTTTGCATTCTGAGGTTAGTCTCCCTTCATCCTCCTTACTGCACTTTAGTTCACGAAGGAGAGCGGTCTTGGAGCGCTGAGATTGGATTCTTTTAGGATAAAATTCAACTGGAAGATGCGCTCCAGAAGCCCACCTAACACATTCCAGTCACAAATGAGCACTGGATCAAGCTAGAGCTAGTCCAAAAGAAAAAAATAATCCTGAGATGTGTAATAATGTGAAAATCGGGTCTTCAGTACAAATCCACAGTACTTGCATCCATACACCTATGAAATCCACTTGAAAAAAAAAAAAGAAGCTTGCAAAGAACTTTCACACAATTCAAATGCGAAATCTGATATTGCTCAGCAATTTTCCTAGACTGTGTCAAGGAAATTATACATTACAGAAGTTGTAGGTGAGCATATATGAATGATGCATGTCAAAATTTGAATTTCCACAGATACAAAAATGTGTACTACTGATATAATTGAAGAAATTTCATTTGTTAAATTAATTCAGAGCAAGTATCTGACAACCATCTGTCAAGAACTATAGGAGTAAGAGAGGACGGAGTGCCAGGCTGTCAAAGGGAAGCTAACAGATCCTTCTGAACACTGAAGCAGAGATGTCCAAGGCAAAATATTACGATAAAACATGAGTGTGTGGACTGCATGCAATAAAAAGTGCGCGGGAATAAGGAAATAGACATTACTTTCATGGGTGAAATGCAATACATATGCCCGAAACACTATAAAAAGCTACAAAAAACAATGAAATTTGAAAAGCTAAACGTGTCTTCCTTCTTTGCTTCAGCATAACTTTTACATTTTTAGAAAGACTTAAGAACTAGAGAGCATATGAAAATACACCAAATCAACTGTGTACTGACACATAGCTACACCTTCTGCTGCCATAATTGGGATGGAAAGAAATCTGTGAAACTCCAGGAAAGAGAAAAACTCTAAAATGAATACATTTTAACCAAATCAAAATAAACAAATTAAAAAAAAAAAACCTTAAGATGTGGTTTACAGCTGTTCACACTTGACAGTAAAGCCACAGAACAAACACAAGAGGAATTTATGTGATTCAAAGTATAGAACAGAAAATCATTCAACAAAAATCTGCATTTAGCTAGTGAAGTCTGGATCTTACCCAGAAAAAGAAAGGAAAAAAGAATGTTTAATATTTGCAAAAGCCCACAAAAAGACACAGTATCAAGGTACTGCAAAACAAAAGGTTTAATTATTAATTTAGACTAAGAAAAAGTATCTGGTGAGTAACAGTTTCTGACACGGTGCAGTATTTATGAAGATAAAAAAAGTGAAAGGAGACTTATGATGGACAGACAGGAAAACAGGAATTCCAAGAAGAACCCAAGCAAAAAAAACCCCAATGAAAATACCTCAACCCAACAAGAAAAGATAATTAAGAACAAAATAAAATCACAATCTCTAATAAGAGAAAAAAAGATAAAAAAAGACAACGATACTACGTGGAAGATAACCGTTACCTGAAGCAATCAAAAGTTGTAGCATTTTGCTCCTCAGTGCTCTCAAATTTTATTTTATTTGAATTTGGCACACAGATACCAGTAGTATTTTCAAACTAAGTGAAGTCCTTCCAAAACTAAGACAGAGTCCTCATTTACTACAGCGATAGTACGTACTTACTACGTTTGTTGCTGGGAACAAAAGTAAGGTGGGGAAAGGAAGGGAACCAAAATGAAAAAACCTCTCGACCAAGTGAGACTTGGGATAATGGGAAGTCATAAAACTTAAGGAGGACGTGTTGTACAAATACAGTGGGTTTGATCCAGGTATTGTCCAACTCCTGACGCTATTTTAAGCCAATACGTGTTTCTAAATTACACTTGCTTGATGAATCAGTGCTTACTCAGTTAAAATAAGAAAATAGTAATAAGCAAAAAGCACAAAATTCCCTGGAATTGTTTTATCGTTTTGGAGATGGTGGGGCAAAAAATGAAAGCACAGAGGATCCTTAATAAAACATTTCTTTGGAAAAATAAGTAGACTACTAAGATGTCAGGTCATCACCAAAATGAGAGACAGATGTGGAGGAAACTGTGAGAAGAGAAACTTCTCCTAGAACAGTCTGTACTTCTGCACTATAGAAAAAAGTTCTAAGGAAAACGTCCCTTTCGCAGGATTTTTATATGTTTTTTTACAAACATAAACATTCTGGAACACAGCAAAGACATGCAGCACATTCAAGGTACAAGACCACCAGGCCACAGCATACCTTCTTTAAGTAGGCTGTAGCAGAACAGGCGGGCTCTTTCCACATCTCCCAGTTGCCGACAAATCCCTGTGTAGACTCGACACAGAGCCTGATCGAAATTGTGATTTGTGGCATTCTTCTGAGCCTTGAGTTTACTGAGAATAACGTGCAGCAGGGACTCTGCTAAATGCTGTGAGGCACAAAAAATATTATTAGACTATTAAATACTTGAGCATATTTGACAACATTAGAGTAGTATGACAAATAAAAAGAACTATCTGACTTGCAACAATACTGTTTGCATACATATTAAAAAGCAGAAAAGTAAATCAGAGGCAGTCAGTGAAAGAAAAAAGTGAGGAGCAACCTCCCAGAATAAATGTGCCTCCAACAGATGCCCAACAGGACTCCTGTTCTTTAAATATAATAAACTGGTCAGTTACGTGACCACAAACAGGTGCTGGAGAGGCTGCAGGTTTGGACTGGGTACCTGCAGGCACCAGGAGCCTGAGGGCTGGCTCCGTCAGGAACCAGGAGAGCCACACCAGCTCCCTGCAAGAGTGGGGTCTGCAGGTCAGGTGCAGGTATGGCTACCGCTCCGGACCAGCTGCTGGAGGGACATGTGTGTTTCTGTACGTCTGTCTGTGCATCTGACACTTGGGGAGAACAGGACCATCTCCCTTCTGAGGAAAGGCTGAGGGAGCTGGGTCTCTTTAGCTTGGAGAAGAGGAGACTGAGGGGGGACCTCATTCATGTTTATAAACGTGGAAAGGGTGACTGCCATGAGGATGAAGCCAGGCTCTTCTCAGTGGCATCCAATAATAGGACAAGGGGAAAGGGATATAAGCTGGAACACAGGAGGTTCTGCTTAAACACGAGGAAGAACTTCTTCCCAATAAGGCTAACAGAACACTGGAACAGGCTGCCCAGAGAGGTTGTGGAGTCTCCTTCTCTGGAGATGTTCCAAACCCGTCTGGACGTGTTCTTGTGTGATCTGATCTAGGTGGTCCTGCTCCAGCAGGGGGATTGGACTAGATGATCCTTTGAGGTCCCTTCCAATCCCTGACATTCTGTGATTCTGTGACACGCTGAGTGCCCAACGTTAGCTACTGGAGGGATCCATACTGCCTGTACGTATGGATTTGCCACTAGCAGGCTTTGGCCCTGCCCAGCCAGAGAAGAGAACAAGGTCAGGCACGTACCATGTGCCTACTCCGAGTGTGTACTCGGCCCTGCTCAGGAGCGTGGTACTGGCTGGAGCTGGAAGCATGAAGCTGCCACAGCCTCACTCCTGTGAAGTTACCAGAGTCAGCAACTCACAACAAAGATGATGGAGAACTTGGCAGCACCTTCTGTGGAAAACGTAATTACACTCGAGAAGCGAAACGGGGCAAATCTTTCCCCAACACAAGAAGGACATGGAGCTGCTGGAGCGGGGCCGGAGGAGGCCACGAAGATGATCCGAGGGCTGGAGCACCTCTGCTATGAAGACAGGCTGAGAGAGTTGGGGCTGTTCAGCCTGGAGAAGAGAAGGCTCCGGGATGATCTTATTGCATCTTTCCAGTACCTAAAGGGGGCCTACAGGAAAGCTGGAGAGGGACTTTTTACAAGGGTGTGTAGTGATAGGACAAGGAGCAATGGCTTTAAATTGAAAGAGGGCAGATTTAGATTGGATATAAGGAAGAAATTTTTCACTCTGGGGGTGGTGAGGCACTGGAACAGGTTGCCCAGAGAAGCTGTGGCTGCCCCATCCCTGGAAGTGTTCCAGGCCAGGTTGGATAAGGCTTTGGGCAACCTGGTGTAGTGGAGGGTGTCCTTGCCCATGGCAGGGGGGTTGGAACTGGATGATCTTTGAGGTCCCTTCCAACCCAAACCATTCTATGACTCTGAAAACGCTGCCATGCGTCAGCTGGTGAACAGCGCTGCTGCAGGCTACAAATTATCCACAAGTAATTTCTATGAAGTGATTTTTTCCAACGCTGATGCTGAGCAAGTACCGAGAAACAAACTGATGAAAGGTTTTTCCAATAAAACTCATTCGAACCACCTGATGTATAATGGTAAACACAGAATGAACGGGTATGTTACTTGTATATACAATGTGGTTTATCTTATTTAATTTAAAAAAAAATTTAAAAAGGTAATTGAACCTCACACTTTTAGAGGAACTCCTTCAATCGTTAACACGACGAAAAATGCTGCAAAAATAAAGTGCTTTATGCCTACATGGGGAAAGCAAATGTATTTACAAATGCAGTTTTGCATCTTGGACACCACTGAAGAGTAATGTCTTGTGAAGTTCTTCTATATTTTCTGCAGTTATACAAGTTTAGATGTCTGGTAACCTTTCAAGACTACACTTTGGCACCGCAGATTGCCTCAACAATTGCGAATTCCAACACTGCATCTTAGGACTCTCTTCATCTGCACAGAAGTCATTATTAAAACATAAAATTAAAAATTATGCTGCTTACCTTATTTTTTACACCAAATTCGTAGACAACTTCTTTCTCTTCATCTCTCATTATTGGAATCTTCGAGATATTGCCGACATACACGTGACCTTTGATAACCGGTAACAAGTCAAAACAGGACGCAGCGATTTTCGCCAATGCCAAAGAAACTTTTGGGCAGTCAGGATCAATAACCTCGTTCACCAGCAGCGGTGCTTCTAGACTGGAGCTGCGTGCTGGATCACTGGTGGCACAGCCTTTGTCACAGGGAGCCTCCTGCGCTTTGGAGACGGTATTTTTAGCTTTTCTGACAGCAGCGGTATCGCTGGGCTCCAGCTTTGGGGGGTCACTGTCCAACCTCAGTCTCTTTGCGCTTCTTGGCATAGACACTGGCAACAGCGTCCGCTTTTTGAGGTGCTCTGATGAGCCTGGAAACAACTGCTGACTTTGCCCATCCTTGTCTTGGTCTTTGCCACTGTCAGATTTCACGTTGCCCCCAGTTTTAACAAAAGCAGTCGAGGTAGATGCGATCGCCTTGAACCCACCTATCTGAGTCACGGGGCCTGGCAAACTCTGGCTGTTTGGGAAAGCACAGCGATTAAGCTGAATATTGCCTTTCAGAATGTTCAGTGTCCTTGCCCTTGCAGAGAGCTCTGGGTACATAGTGTCCAATATTTTCACAGAGTTCTCCTGAGGAGCACCTGGAGCAGCACCATCGGCTGCAAACGGGGGAAACCTTCCCGGGACGGGAAGCGCGTGCTTTGGAATGGAAGTACAGAATTTCAAAGGGGAGGAGCGAATCCTTCTACCTGCTGCCATTTCTGAAGGTGAGGGAGGAGAAAATAAAAGAGCAGATTTTACTGTCAGAGTATCCGTCAACGGAGACATGAGAGGAGGAACAGGAGTTTCATGTAGTGGGGATATCAAGTCATCAAGAGGGGATAGCAAAGAGGCACGACCAGTAGAAGACATGGCTGGGGACAAAGTACACGCAGCTTTCGGAGGAGTGGCAACCAAAGGAAGCAGCAAGGGGGGCAGAGGAGGACCCATCTCTTGCCTGATTTTATTTATAGTCTCGGATGAGCATTTTGTTGGCACAGAAGTATCAGCATTTGCAAGAACTGGCTGACTGGGTTTAACTTTGGGAGCCTTGGTTTTTCTTTTACCGTGCAGCAGCCCCTTTGACAGTTTGGCATGCATTCCGTGGGCAGCTGTCTTGGTTGAAACAGTCAAGGTTTCCAACGGTTCTCGCTCTTGGCACTTCAACTTATCACTCTTTTGGAGAGTGACGTCCACACCAGACTCTGACTCCAACACACCCAGCTTCTCAAACACTGGTTTTTGTGGCTCAGACGGCTGCCTAACTGTGTGGCAATTGCACTCTACATCAGATAGGGCTGGACTTGGAAGATACTTGCCAATTTTTTTTCTTCTACTGCCACCATCTAGGTTAACATCAGTGTTCTTTTCTCTGACGTGGTAAGCAGTGCAAGTTGGATTGTGATTATATTCTTCGGACATCGAGACCTCCGTATCAACACCATGTAGTAGACTTTGCTCCACATTTGCCTTAGGTTCTTCAGAATCGTTTTCTTCTGAGAAATTGCCAAGTGCTAACATTCTTGTATTTAATTTACTGGTTTTTACAGCCAGTCTGCAAGTGTCTGAGGATCTGGTTAACATCTGGCATGGTGGTAATCTGTTTTTTGAAGCATTTGGCATGACAGGGCTTTCTTTTGATGTCCCAGTTTTTGACAGGCTTTCCTCACTGTCAATGATGCATCCAGCTCTGTTGGAATCTACCATACATTGATTAGCACCCTCAGTATTTTCAGAGGTTACTAATACACACTCTGTCTTCCAAGAGGCTAAGTCTTTAGGACAACCCTCCTCAACCACACTTGACAACTCATTTGCAGTATCTGGAGAGGTCTTTGTTTCACAGTGTGTATCCATATCCATATCCATCGTAGTGTCTGCCTTTAGATGATTAACTGTCGAAGTATTTCCTGGGTGCGTTGTTGAATGATGGTCACATACTTGGTAATCAGCATCAACAACTGCACCAGTTTCCACTGCAATTCCCCTGGAAGCTCTCAGTTCCTTTCTGAACATTGGGACACATTCCGAACATTTCACACATCTAACTTTTTGTATAGAACAGTCTTTCTCTTCAGACTCATTGCTCTGCTCTGGCATATCAGAATGATTTTTAGACCTTTTTACGGCATTTTCCCCAAATGCCTCAAAGCTATTCAATTCTTTGCTGTTTTCCCCAGCTCTTAGTGAACCAGTTCTAGAAGGATCTGTTCTAACCTCCCTGCATTCTGATTCTTGACGATCAAACTTTTGGAGAAAAGTATTCTTATTACAAGAGTTTGCATCCAGGATCTGTGACTTAACAGATGCCTGAGATTCTTTATCTACTGGCTGCTCCTTCTCACCTGGAATTTTCACTTCATTTTTGTGTATGTATTCCCTCTCAGGGCAGTCCAGTTCTTTGCATGTGTTGTCTCTTCCAGCAGACAGGATCTCAGTACCCTGTTCCAAGCTTTCTGAGGAACAGCTGAATGCACTACCCGTAACACAACTTTCATCTCCTTTGTCTTCCCATGTACAGGAAAAAGCAGCCCTTTCTGTGACATTAGTTTCAACAGAACTGACAACTTCCTGAAGACTGAAATTTGTATCAGGAGGCATTGTGGATTCTAAGCAAATTCCCACTTGCACAGGAGAATCTGCTTCTTCAGTATTTACACAGCCCATCTCCAAGTACTCTTGAGTAGAAAAAGCCAAGCCACTATTAAAATCCATTTCTGAAGCAGGCTGGCAGATGGCCTCTGAAATACTATTATTCTTCACAACATTCTCTTCCTGGTTAAATGAACTGGAACAAGTCTCAGTCACCAATTCCTTGCTTTGTTTATTTAATTCCCCTTTTATTTCAGCACACTTAACATTTTCAGTTACCAAGAACTGGTTCAGAGATGTTGCAAACTGTGCCTGAGAAGTAAAATTACTTTCTACTAAGACAGATTCACAGGTATTTTCTAACAGCTCACCGCTTTCCTCTCTGAAATCTTTTGGATTCACTTTGAATTCAGTCTCTTGAGATTCAAACACTCTCAAGATTTGAGTTTTGGACAACCCATGTTCTGAAGGACTACCTAGGTTTTGGGGTTGGTTTATTACGTCTTTTATTTCCATAAAACCTAACACAGAGGACTCACACTTAGCTACACTGCCTTCTGCATCAGTAACACATGCGGTCTTTGGGAGTGCAAGTAGACTTTCCAAGTCTGACTTCCCCTGTGGTAAATTACTACCCTCTTCTCCCTGGTGTGGTTTGCCTTTGAAATATCTCTCCTCCTTTATATCAACTGATTCTCCATTTTCTGCACTATGGAGTAGCTCCAACGATTCAGCTATTTCTACACCGCTTCCTCCATTTAATTTCATGGCCAGTTCAATAGTCTCAGGTCTGGTTCTACTCGTGTCTTCAATTTTGAGCTGTTCATCATCTTTTGGAAAGGCTGACAAAGCAGTGCTCTCCATACCTACGTTTCTGTCTATGTCATCCATAGACAATAAGTTTCTGATTCCTTCAATAGCAGATACAGCTAAGTCACAACTAGAGACTTTAACAGTCTCTGGTTTGCATTCTCTGCCCACTCCATCTTCTGTTGTTTGCACACATTGTTTCTCCATTCTCTCTTCACTGTCATGTTTTATCTCAGAGTGCTGAGAGTATGCAGAGATCTCAGCAGCTCCAGTGTCTGTCTCAGTCTCTGTGGTTGTTCCCTCCCCATCACACTGTATCATTAGGTGTTTAGGACTCTCCACTTCACAGAAGGATTTTGAACTCTTGGAATCGGACAATACATTTTCAAAGAGCTCTCTCTCATTGTTTGCCTCTGCACAGAGTCCTTTCATCTGTATTGCAGCTGTTGTTTCCTGTCCAACTATCACTTGTTTTATGTTTTCCCCTACATTACTTGCCATATTGGTTACTTTGATTACATTTTTTATTTCATTTTTAGCCACTTCATTCTGTACCAACACATCAGATTTCTCCTCAGAATCTTCACTTTGAAGCACAATGCATTGCTCGGGTGGCAATTCAGTAACATTTTGGGGAACAGATAGCACCGCAGGAGTTTCTCTCTCTCCTGATAATCCATCTCTCTCTTTCATTAATTGACCATGCTTTTCATGTGTCCCCTCATAATCAACAGCTCTGATTAAGATTACATCCTCCTCTGTCCGCTCTACCTCACTACATCTTTCCACCTGATTCTGAGACTTGAAACTGTGTAACACAGAATCTCCCTCTTCACTGTGCACATCCTCACTATCTCCTTTGTGTTCTTCGATGGCTTCCAATTCGTGTGCTGTTGCTCTCTCCTCAGTTTCCATATTCTCAGAATTCTCCTCCCAACAATCTGTGTTAGTTTCCATGTTTGCAAATTCAGCAGCAGCTTCAGCTTGCTTTGTTTCAGCATCTCTCTCCTCCTCGCTTGACATCTTTGGACCAATACCAACATTCCTTTCATTCCAACTCAGGTTACGTGAGAGTTCTGCATCAAGACCACGCTCACACGGTTTGCTCTGGCTGTTGCGCTCCTCGTTGAAGTTGAATAGATTACAACTCTGGGGCTGAACTTGGTCTTCTTGTAAAACATCCTCCACTGCAGAAGCACTGCAATCAACTTCGTCATCGCTGGAACCTGTGATTTCTCCAAACAATATATCCTTTAATGAAAAACATAAAGTTAATATTACGAAGCCTAGTATCAGTACGTATTTCTCTAAACAAACACACTAGTGGCCCTGACAGGCGGTGGTTTTGAGAGATTAATGCTGATCAACAGAATTACATCCTTTTCCATCATTGTTCTTCATCGCAAACAGAAAGCACCTTTGTGAAAAGTCAGAGACTTCTTTACCAACCTACCTGCATTCTAAGATCACTGGAAAACAACATTTGAGTAGGTCCCCCTTGACTTTCAAGCTGTGGAATTTTGTTATGAAAGCCATGCTTATACCCAACAGGAGTTGGGACTGTAAGTCTGCAACATTGGGGAAAAAAAATTGTGACAGCAGTTGAGACATGGCTGACTTGGTTTTAAATATACTACTGAAAATTATGTTTTGCTCCCTTCCACACAAAATAGGCTAGAAGGTAAAAAAGTATCCATATGGATCTAAACACTCACACAGAGCCCTTTTCAGTCCATATGTAAGTAATACTGATGCTCAAAAAAAAAAAAAAGCAGCCCAGGAATATCAAATAATTATTTTTGCAGTAATTATATGACTAAGTGTCAAATCAGACATATCTTGAAACTCACCTGTGTAGTTAGTGGTGAAAGCTGTACTGGAGAAAGTAGAGCCGGGAGAGGCCGGGCCCAGTTCAATATATCCATCACGTCTCCACCTGGGCCCTTCTGCTCCTGATCCGAGAAGTCTGAACTGCTGTGTGCCCCATCTGCCTGTAGTATCACATCTACAGCTTTATCCTCATCACCGTGCAGACATTCTTCATCAGTCATGTTCTCAACACAGTCACCTCCAAAAGGCTCAGTATTCCCTTTAAGTTGCATGGCTGTTACAGAATTTTCCTTTCCAGCACTTTCTATAGAAGAATACCAAGGTAGCGTTTTGCCATCACACTTCCTGACCTTTTGGTGGATTTGTACAGTTTCTAAGACACAAAAATATTGTTAAGAATTTTTTTCCCTTCCTATTTTTCTTTCTAGAGAAAAATATATCATAGTAACAAGAATGCATTACCATCTTTTCAAGTGATGGTCCCATAGACTCATGTCCTGGCTTCAGCTGGGATAGAGTTAATTTTCCTTCGTAGTAGCTGTTACAGTTTGTGTTTTGGATTTAGTATGAGAATAATGTTGATAACACACTCAAGTTTTAGCTGTTGCTAACTATTGCTTACACTAAGTACAGGACTTCTCGGCTTCCCACGCTCTGCTGTCGAGGAGGTGCACAAGAAGCTGGGAGGGACCACAGCCAGGACAGGACAGCTGACCCAAACTGGCCAAAGGGATATTCCACACGATATGACATCGTGCTCGGTGTATAAACTGGGGGAGTTGGCCAGGGGGCAGCAGCTGCTGCTTGGGGACTGGCTGGGCATCGGTCAGCGAGTGGTGGGCAACTGCATTGTGCACCGCTTGTTTTGTGTATCTATGATTATTATTATTAATTATCTCCCTTTCTTTTTTCTGTCTTATGAAACTGTCTTCATCTCAACCCATGAGTTTTCTCATTTTTACTCTTCTGGTTCTCTCACCCATCCCACTAGAGGGGGAGCAAGTGAGCAGCTCTGCGGTGCTCAGTTGCCAGCGGCAGTTAAACCACGACCACTCCTTACAGAGATCAGATGCTGTTACTCACAAACAATTCTTTTTTTCATGAAAGAAGTAGATGTATATGCAAAGAACTCCTCCCCAAACCACTTTCTGACTTTGATCACTAAGACTACTCTTCTCAATTCTTCTTATCAGGAATGGGCAGGACTGAAGGTGCATACAGCTCAAGGATTTATTTCAGTTTTAGCCCAGTAACTGATGTTCAGGAAAAGCAAGACAAGCATGCAGTGACATCCCCCACACAGGCTGTAATTCTCAGCTTTAAGCAATGAGCAGCTTTGAGCCAGCAGCTGCACTTGCAGGCCAGTTACGATTATACCCTGCTGTAAACACTTTGCTATATTCCTAATTTTATGATTTAATACACATACGCTTTTAAAGTGTTTCTTCTTTAAATTTCAATATTGAGTCTAATCATACAAGATTTTGTCTTTAATGATGTGACCAAGTTAGAGCTGAACCCTTAAAAAAAAAAAAAAAAACAACTTTCTTAGAAGTGAAGTTCCCCCCCCAAAATACCTACGCACAAAGGAGTTAAACCACTAAGACAACGAAAGACACTGAGCAGCTGACAACCCTTTAGAGATGTCAACTTGGTAGAGTTCTACACAGTTATTCTAGCAGCAAGAAAGCATGTCCAAATGCTCTGAGTGATTCTTTGCACGGTACTTTTGTTCCATTCCTTTTCAAATCACATTTCTTACTATTACACAGTAACCCATTCCTTATGTATGCAGACAAAACACATTGCCCCAGGAAAGCCTAAACAGTAGAGACAAAGAAGTTAAATATTGATTATAATTGCACTAGATACTTATAACAGTGAAAAGATGGCCCAGTTTTCTGAAATTCAAATTCTGTGATTTTATAAAAAGAAAATATTATCTCCAATAAAACAGTAGAAACCAACAACCCCAAAACCCCAGTGTGCCACATGGAACTAGAACCAACCCTGTAGTATTTGCGGTTCTTCTATGACGTTTGTACGCGTGATCCTGTTTACAGTGCTCACAACACTAACGGACACTGAATCACCAGTATTCCAGCAAGAGATGAAGCCTATTTGGAGTGCATCCAATACCACCCCACGGTATAAAGAACAGCACATGCACCAAATGGTTTTGAACAGGGGATGTATTGATTTAAGTGGCACAACTTGCGTCCTGTTGGAAAACCAAAACAGAATGGTGTGCTTCATTATTGCTGTCGGTGCTTATCCACTACTAGAACTTGCAAAGATACTCCTGAAGCAGCATCACTGGTAGTACCAGATTCAAAAATACTAATTTAATTCGACAGGTCAATCTAGAGATCTGTCTAGAGTCACCTATCTATCAATAGAATCCAGTGATCTAGAGATCTGTCTCTCCATAACCTTTAGGAGATTCTGATACCTTGGCTCCACTAAAGGAGTCAGTAGGAAAACTGATCAAAACCCCTATTTCTAACATCCCTCTCAGTCACTTCACGTAGCAACTCCATGTCAAAATCTCAATTGCTGCAATGGACAGTAGAAAGAGAGAGACTCTGTTCAGCCTAAAGGGCCTTACCACCTCATTTTCCCCAGAGGTAAGCAAGCTCTGGTATGTTCTCTGGCCAAAGCAGCATCTTACAAGTTATCACAGACTTTTTTATAAAGCTATTTACAAGCTACAGTCACATAAAACTTCCAGGACATTCTACATCTTGTCGAGAAAATGCTAGATCCCTTCTGCAATTCGAGTACCATTAGACCATCCATGGGAAAAGGAGATCCTTCACAAGCAGGAACCAAGAAAAGAAAGAAAATTCTGAAGGTGTTTCTCTCTAAAATATAATATTAGATCATATCTTAGATTTCTTCCACGCTCCTTTGTGCCAACCAGTTCTAAGCTCAGGACCTCCTCCACACAGAAGCGAGCAGAAACACAGTTCCATAATTTGCCCCTAGAAGAACTTCCATTAGACAACTGGGAAGTCTACTTTGCACAGTGAACTACACAACAGCATTAAATTATCAGGAGCTTGACATCCTATCTATACTCTCAAAATCTGTCATGCGCCTATATGGAGCTCAAGAATATTGATACACACTGAAAAGTTCCCTCTGAGAAATGGATCAAGGATGTAATTTCTGAATAACTAAGAGATTCTCTGTCCTTCTCTCCTCATCCCTTTCCAACTCAGTCCCTGATAACTTGGTTCGAATTTCTTCAGGAATTAGATGCTTTTGTCACGGTTACCCCTTTATCTGTAGGAAGAGTTGTCACAGCAATTTTGAAAGGTTCAGGATATAGTAAACTTCTCCACAGGAAACAGCCAACTCTTTGGCACTTTGGCCTGAACTTCAGGTCCAGGAAAAGCCCTCCTGATATCAAGCCCTCCTCATCATAAAGATCCTGTCAAAGATCATATTTCACAGACAAATTTTACTTTATCCAGGGAATCACCCTCTTTTTCATTATGTCCCTTATCAAAATGGTTAAGCTTTGTCTTCAAATCTACAATCTGGAATCTACTCCACGTAGCTCCAAACTCTTCTATTGCTGCCTTCTCCCACATCTGAGAAAAGGCTAAGATTACTCTAATCACCATCAAAATCTACCATACACTATTGTGAAATACTTCCTTGATGAAGAATGGACAAAGGAGAGCAGAGATGAAACAAGTAATCCAACGCTAACCTTGGCTGCTTTGGTACTAAATAAATTGGATTTTACAACTCAAATCTTTGCTCCTGACTGTCCACGTTGCACACATTGCAGGGCAACTCACCGTTTCAAAACGTCCTCTTCTCTCCCCACCCTAAACAACAAAGCAACTTTCTGAAACAAGTCTTGGGTTTTTTTCTCTCAAAAAGGAGGACCAGATGAAGATGTCGGAAATTTTATCCAAAGAATTAATCTAGTCACAGAATCTCTCCTGCTTTACAGCAAAACCTCATCACGATCTGCACAGTGACTGCAAATCCCTGGCAGTGGCAACTGTGCGCTTCTCAAGGACAAACAGCAGTATTTCCCCGAAGAAAAGTCCCTCCACAGAAAGTTTCTAATGCCCTGTCAACAACCCTCGATTTTTCAGTGTTTCCAATGATGCAAATTTCAGGATGTTTCATACACTAGCAATTCTTTAGAGCTACAGACAGTATTCTGTTTCTCAAGACAGTAAATCCACACATCCCATCGTATGAAACCAATAATTAGGGTGAACACGGCATATCTGTAACAATGTGCAATGCTACACTACTGAAAAAGATGCCATCTCGAGAGATTTTCATGTGGTCTTACAGATAGACGAGAGGTCTGCTTCTTAAATCACTCACATCCCATGGACTTCAATCTCAGGACCATAAAACACACACAGGTCCTTAGGGATTTAGGATTTAGAAGCTCAATATGAGCCGGCAATGTGCTCTTGCGGCCCAGAAGGCCAACCGCATCCTGGGCTGCATCAAGAGGAGCGTGGCCAGCAGGTCGAGGGAGGTGATTCTCCCCCTCTACTCTGCCCTTGTGAGACCTCACTTGGAGTATTGCGTCCAGTTCTGGAGTCCCCAACATAAGAAGGACATGGACCAGTTGGAGAGGGTCCAGAGGAGGGCCACGAAGATGATAAGAGGGCTGGAGCACCTTTCCTATGAGGACAGGCTGAAAGAGTTGGGGCTGTTCAGCCTGGAGAAGAGGAGGCTCCGGGGTGACCTTATAGCGGTCTTCCAGTACCTCAAGAGGGCCTACAAGAAAGATGGGGAGAGGCTGTTCAGGAGGGCCTGTTGTGATAGGACAAGGGGGAATGGTTTTAAAATAGAGGGAGGTAGATTCAGGTTGGATATTAGGAAAAAATTTTTTACCATGAGAGTTGTAGAACACTGGAACAGGTTGCCCAGAGAGGTGGTGGATGCTCCATCCCTGGAGACGTTCAAGGCCAGGTTGGACGAGGCCCTAAGCAACCTGATCTAGTTGGAGATATCCCTGTTCCTTGCAGAGGGGTTGGACTAGATGACCTTTGAAGGTCCCTTCCAGCCCTAACCATTCTATGATTTGGTCTTATCTTTGTATTTTACATGTAATACCGCTGCCTTGTATCTCTTTATCTGGTATTAAAACAGACCCCAAGGTACCTTCAGTGTGCTCCTTTCCATCCCTGCTCTTCACATCTATATGCAGCTTCTCCCCTATCCTGGATCCCCAAATGAAAAGGAAGACCAGGTAAGATGGGTATAGCTCTGTAGTAGGCCAGATTTAGCTCAGAACCCCATTACACATACTACTTCCAGAGGCTCAGCTCCTCCCAGATGTGGTCTTCCCATCTTCCCTCATCTCCTCTCACCACAACCCTGCATATGAACAGCGTATGTTGGAGAATCCAAATTACCAAAACCTTCAGCGTTGGGCTGCAAGATTCTTCAAATACTTCTTCACATGCCCATTCACAATGTAGGTGACTTTACGCTCAAATGACATGGGAAACAGTTTTCCATAAGTCTAAAAAACCAGCAATATCTTATTAACCTAAGGTTATTGGTCTGATGGTCAGCTGCAGGTACAGTCAACCTTATTACTGGCAGATTTGTAATGATACTACCAAGACCAAGCAAAAAAAGCTTTTAAATTTAAGTTTGGCAAAACCTCACTGTCCTATGAAGCTTTCACAATGGCACATTTCTTGGAAAAAGTATGAATGGAAAGCCTGATGAGTCTTACAGTTTTCATACATGAACACATTCTTCAAGAAAGCCATTCAAAGAGATGTCGACCTCGGTGGAACGGAGAAGGCACTGGTTGTAAAGCAAAGCTTTCAATATTTTACAGCACGCTTGAGGGCACTAGGAAACCAGCCAAAGGCATCTTTCTGAAAGGCAAGATCCAGGCAGACAGATGAACTGGCATTCTCTGGAAAAGATGCTTCAGTAACACTACCATCAAGCTGATCTGCTCTCCAAGACGAAACCGTTAAAACATGTGACAAGAAATTAGGGCAAACTCATTAAGATCTTTTTTTTTGCTAAAAGATTGCATCTGCAGACATAAGCATGTTGCTGTTATGAATCCAAGGTCAAGGCCACTTCCATGAGAGGCAGCACAACAAGCTGGCTGTCCTGGGCTTACAGAGGAAAAAATCCAAACCCGAAGCAACAGAAAGTAAGACGTATTTCTGTAACATCTAGCCACTCCAACAAAAGCAGAAGAGGGACTGATGAGGAGAGCCTGCTACAGACAATTGCTTCCTTCTGTGAAAGTACTGTCGTCTCCTTGGGGAGACGTGAACAGGAAAGAGGGGACAGGACTCCTGGCATCTAAAGTTCCTCTTGTGGTGAACGGGATGACACTAGCATCTGATATCCCTAAATCACTCATATTTCAAACCCTTCAGTTTCTTGAGCTCGTTCTTGTCATTTGATTGACCCTTGATCAAGAAATGACATTCAGAAACTCATGGGACAACTGTCTAGCTCAGTTCTGGAGCTGAAGCCATCGATCTGCTGCATTAAACTGGTGGAACGAAGTTAATAAATTGGCTTATGAGCTGGTCCTTATATTTTGGGATCTCTTAAGTGGATTCCACTGGAACACAGCCTGAAATTAGATTCATTGGGATCTACACTGGTAGCAAATTTTAAGAACTAATAGGGTGGGGAGACAGAATTTCACCTTCAAAGTTCCTGATAAGGCACAGTACTCATCCCAGACAGTATCTCTACAGCCCAAGCTACAGAAAACCAAAGCAGTAAAGAAAATAAAAGAAAAATTAAAAATTACTAAGCACACTCTGGAGAGACTACTACAGAAATACTAACGTGGTTTCAAGGCACCTATTACTCCCGAGGGCAGAGAGGAAAAAGTTAAAGCAGTTCAAGTTTGCTGCAAACGTGCCTGTGGGTAACTACTCAGATTACTTTTCATTATACTAAATATCATGTTACAAAATTGAAGCTATCACCAAATCATACGTTTTGTTTTTTGGTATCACGAATATGAAAACTAACACACCATTATTTGTTATTATTCAGGCAAGTATGAATGAAGAAAATGGTTGCAACAGCTTCTTACATTTTACAATCCAACTATGTTAGCACGTGTTTGTTTCAGACTAAAAGGAGTGCTTGCATCTTGTCATTCACGATATATACTGCAGAGTTTATAATGATACAATAATTAAGGTGTAAACATAAGAGGTGAGTTTTGACTACTTAGAAATAGTCAAAAGCAGTTGACAGTAGAACTTAATTTCTCAATTGCAACAGCAGATTACAACAGCTTTTACTTAGAAAAGCATTCCAGCTTATTTGGCTGTTCAAATTAATATTTGCAATTGTTTTCAAATATTCTAATCACAGATGTACTTGACCAGGCAGTCACCAAGGAAAGTATTTAAGTCTGTCAAAAAAGCATTATGCAAACAGTATCCAACCTGATGACATCCCAGTAAGACTAAATGAATGCACTTGCAGACTAATAAATTCACATTTACTGGAACCTACCTTCTGTGACAGTCAGTCTTCTTTTTTCAGGCCATGCCTTAGCCTGAACAGAAGCTGCAAAAATGTACCAGCATTTATTTTTGGTCAGAAAAAGAGATAGGTTCAAGAAAAAGTCAAGACTTTGCACGTTATCTCACCCAAGACGGGATCATTTTCCTGATTTTCTCTTCTTCCTGTTGCACTGTCAATGCATATCCAGAGTTCTTCGAGTAAGAGCTTTATTTTTTCTGTTAAAATAAATAGTTTTATCAATTCAGAAAAGCCTCAGTTGCTCAGAGAGCTAAGAATTTCTATTTTTACTCAGAAAACAGACATGCCCACGACAAAATACTAAATACCCACAACAAAAATTAAGACGAGGGACACAAGGGCATTTAGCTTCAGAGAAATGCTGGATGCCACTGAGGGAATGCCATAGCCACACAGCAGACCGAAGGAACAGATGCAGAATGCTTTAGCTTGCCCTTTCTATAGTGAGTGTGGCAAAAAGTTGGAGCAGCCCACAGACTAAAATGTAAAAGCAGATTTGAATGTAGCATTAGTGAAATTAAGTTAATTAGTGAAATTAAACAGCTTTCTAAAACAACTCAGATGACAGGAACATAAATAAGGGAGGAAATCTTTTAGGAAGAAAGTATTTATATCATATTCTTTCTTTATGCCCACTCAGTTGTATCTCGTTTTAGTCTTACCATGGAGTAACAGCACATTAAATGTATCTGGATTAATTACCAGACCACAAAACTAGCAGATAGTGGCCGGAGTCCTACCAGCACCATTGCTAGATGATGCCAACCAACCTGGTTCCAGAACCAGACGGGCAGGTGGCGAGGGAGAAACGGACCAAAAACCCAATAAAACACACAATCACCTCACCAACAATCAGGAACTGAGACTCTTGGTTTTGTGCCAATTCCATAAGTCAAAGACCACAGCAAACTTCTACTATTTTATGAAGACATATTAAAAAAACCTCAGCATGTAAGAAGAAAATCTGCCAAATTTTGCATGACAGCTGGTAACATTAACAATTTCTCATTAGTAATAAAGCCTTGCTGCTATTTGAAGCTCAAATTAGAGCTCAGATCTTAATTTTCTCATTTTGCCATTAATTAAAAATTAAAGGATAAAATTAGGTACCAATTTAGTACAATCCAAAAGCTAGTAAAAATATGCCAAGACACACAAGAACCGACAAGCTCCACCTTTTTCAGAAAAGTTTAATTCTGGCAACAAACTTTATATTGCAAAGCAAGAAACAGAACAGGGAAGTTCTTCTTTTACCTGGAAATTGCCTTCAGAATTTCTAAACAACTCAAAAGCAATAGCAGTACTTGACTGCAAAAATGCAAAAAATAAATCTGCTTAAAATACTTCAAAGGAAGTTTAGAAGGAGTGTGCTCCATTACACAGTTGGATTCATGTAATTTGTAGCAGGTATTTTAGATCATTAGGGAAAAAAGTCATTAGGATAAGAAACAACTATACGTCCTGGATTTCTACTTGATTCACAGAGCCTCACGTAGAAATTGTAGCAGGTTAAAACTCCTATCTCGTGTCTTTTGCTTTGCATGCTTCCTTTAGGATTTCAATGAGCTTCAAAGACAATGGGATTGCTTTTATTTTTCTCAGTGTTTGCATTCCGGTTTATAATTGCACACCAACTGACTCCAACGCACACGGAGTAGACTAGTCATTTTAATATTTTATGTACTGCAAAACTGAAAATAGTAATCCATTACATCAGTCCTTCATCAGTGTAACATGCTCGTATCCACCCCATCTGCTCTTACGGCACTTCGGTCAGGATGCTCTGTTTCCAAAAATGCAACTCCAGAAGAGCTGCAATAAGTTCGTAACGGCTGGTTCAGCACAGGGAATGGTCTTGCCCAAAATCTTACCTTTGTCTATATCCGTGGTAAGATCTTCACTTGAGCTCTGCGTCTCCACATGCTTAACTGTTAAAAAGAGAAGCAGAGGGGAAAGGAAATACTGAAATGGAACACCACCACATACAAATCTGAAGGAAATCAAAGGTGAACACTTACCTTTTCTGCACTTCTCTTTAAGTACACCATCAAGTTTTCCCTGTTAAAATTAAAGAATATTAATTTTTCATGCCATACATATTTTGTAGAGCATCTATTCTTAACTGGCATGAAATCTAAATCAACATTTCAAAGATCATGCTTCAGTTGGAAAATTTCTCTCTCCTAAGATGAATCGCTGTGTTTAGTTACTCAATAACCCCAGCAAATGTAATTTTTTTATTTCAGTATCTCTATTACTAGTAGCTTCCTTTTTTTCCCCCCAGAAATACTAGAAGTAGCTTCATTGAAAAGACCAGGGAAGTCTTACTTGTGCCTTCTTTAGCTCCTTTTCGAGTCGCTTCTTTTCAGTTTTCAATTGTCTGAAGTCCTGTGTATGCTTTGTTGCAGCCTCTTCAAGAGAGCCAAAATTCAAGTTAGAAACTACAATATAAGAGACAACTAATTTAAATAGTATTGGTCACCTGTTTGCAAATAACATTACTGGAAAAAACCCCAAACATGTTGTGAAATACGAATCTACTGAAATTCTATTCTGGTTCATTAAGACAACAACTCATGCGTACAAGTACGTCATCTTCCACTGCGTAATTCCTCTTCTGAACTACTGAAATACATCTATTACTTTTCTCACTTACATGCCAGAATGATGACCAGGTCACACTGTAATGATACTGTGCTACAGAACAAGATACACCCAGTGAAAAAAGGGAATAAAATGAAGAGTGAGGTGCAATGTATTTTTCATGTGTTTTATTCTCTTATTTAGGAGAGGGCTCTGGTTCAAAGCTGAAAACACCATGGCCAACTCCATCAGAAAGATGTAGATAGCACTCCAGACTAATAAATAGAGTACCTTATCTCTTAGTGTCTAACGGACACCTGGGAAGAGCGCAGATGGGTGGGAATAAAAAGTAGAGGGCAGGTAAGTGAGGACTGAATGCGAGGTTCCTAGGGAAACTCTCAAGCAAAAGAGATACTCGAGAGAACTCCCGAGGGATCAGCTTGGTGACTTGGACACCAAGAGCAGAGAAAAGACAGATGGAACTTGCCTGCTGATCAGATCAGAGCAAAGAGAGCACATCAAAAGAAAGAGCATTAAAAAGGCAGCTCAAGTGGTAGGCTGACAAAAAACAATCATGGAAAATTTCAGCTATCAGGCTAAAACATGGGGTCTGGGATTTAACGAGCACAGAAAAAGAACAAAATGGATCAACTAGTCACTCAAGTTGGACCTAATGCAAACTATCTCACAGTGTTTTGTTCTAGCTCTGCTAGAATTTGAGTTTTTGGGGGCAAGAGGGTATAAAAACCTTGTTGCCACATAATGGAACTTGAAAATGCTCATCAAAATAAACACCCTGTACCTGTACTTTACAGTAGGATTCGAAGGCGTTTCTAACACTAAGATACAAGTCACCCAGTTTGTTGTACTTGAAACTGTGGTAAGCACAGCTGTAAGCGTGCCGTAAATAAAAATATTCGCCTTGCCAACTCGAAGTGCAGCAAGTATGAGAACGCTTTACGCACATTCACCCTTCCTCAGCAAAACAAGGAAAACACAGGGCCAGGAGGCAAGTGCTTTATCCCTACTTAAAACCAAACGAAAAACCAATTTCCAGAATATCTGAAAATCAGAAAACGTGTGACGGGATCACTACGTATTTAAATATGATTATAAACACGACTAAAAGAATCCTGCCAAGATTATCAGAACACCGGAGCACATGCCCTATGAAAGAAGGCTCGTTGGACTAGACTCAATTAGCTTGGGAGGAAAAAAAAAACAACAAAAAAAACAACTTAGAAGGGATCTAAGAGCAGCTTTCCTGTATCTACAAGTAAGTATGAAGAAGATGGAACAAGAGTGTTCAGTTGTGCCTTGTGGGAGGACGAGAGACATCAGGCATAAGTTGAAACCAGAGTTTCCAACTGGCCATAAGGAAAAGCTTTTTCTCCATGAAGACAGTCACACAATGAATTGGGTTGCCTGGACAGGCTGGGCAGACTCTGGCCTTTGAGGTTTTCATGACCAAAAGTTCCCTTCCAACTCCATTTACGCCCTCTGCCCAAGATACTCAACGTACGGAATTTTGCGGGGCTGATGTAACTTATGGACTGGGGACCAGACGTAACACTGCCCTGCCTTGCTCCTTGGGGCCTCAGGGTTGGAAAGCTGCTCTTACTTCTCTGGATAAAAGAGGAACCAAGAGGTGGAGCAGGACAACAGCACAGCAACATAACGTAGAGTTACCTTCAAGCTTCTTCACTTTTGTTTCCAGTTTCTTTCTCCTGTTAAAAAGAAGGTATTAATACATCATTTTTGTACAGAATTATGCTGCATGAAAAGCCAGAAGAAAGCCCGTAAACCTGGCCATTGCAGAGAAAACACACTTCCCAAAGCCAGGACCTGTGAGCTCAAGGCATCCCTGAGGCTGAAAACTTCAATCAGTGGCATGTTGCTGACATTCTCACGCAACCAGCTGTATCTGTTTGAGTTTGCTCTGAAGAGTCAGTGCACTCAAATATACCTTCAGCTACAACCTGGAGTTACAACTCAAGAAAACAGGCTTCTGGTTTTTGCATTTCTATGATGCAGTGCAGACAGGTTAGTTTTACTCCTTAAAAACAATTAAGCCTCTCTTAGAATCAGTAAGACCTAAGCACTGAGATCTTCAAGATCACTTGTGTCCCACAGCTTTCCATTCAGAACATCCAGGTGTTTACTAAAGCCACACCCAAACCAAAAAATGATGCAGCCTGAACAATTTTGACTTCAGTATTTCCAACTCTACCTCAAAGGCCAGGCTGGATGAGGCTTTGAGCAGCCTGATCTAGGGGAAGGTGGCCCTGCCCATGGCAGGGGGGTTGGAACTGGATGATCTTTAAGGTCCCTTCCAACCCGAACCAGTCTATGATTATATGTAAAACACACACAGAACTGGGTAATAAACACTTCTACTCTTTCCTTCTGTTAAATCCCAATATCCCAGAAACAGTTTTTAAACTCTTGTGATACTTAGAGGCCTCTGTCCTGACAAACATAGTCAAGCCATAGGTGAGAATTTCAGAAAAAAATCCTCTTAAAACATCTTTGTAGATGTTGAAAAAAAAAAAAAGAAAAAAAAAAGAACCACTTAAAACTGGAGAAACTACAGCCTCTTCTCCAATCTCCTCCTGTTCTTAAAAACATGTATTAAACCACCACCAAAAGCCACTTCAAGATAAGACAGTAATGAAACCAATACTGCCTTCCAGAGTGTTTGCTACAAAATCTAAGACCATTCCTCCCTCAATTCCCTGTTCCAAGAACCCATAAGCACAAAACTTTTCGCAAAATGGAAAGCATAGCCAGGCAAGGAACAATACCAAGTTCTGGAAGAGGTAAGAGAGGGAAAAAAAAGGTGGTGAAAAAAAGAAGCATCACTCACACAGCATCACTGTTCACTATTTCTTCTTTAATTTTAACATATTCCAGTTGACTCTCCTGAAAAATCTTGAGAGAACTCTGTGAAGAAGGAAAGCACAGTTAAAATATATCCTACTGGGGGGAGAAAAGAAAAAAAAAAGCAGACAATTTACCTATTCTAATGAAAACAATGCATAGCCCCAAAAAGATATTAAATAAGAAAACAAGCCATGTTGAAAAGCCAACTTATTCTTCTTCATTAAAGGCAAAAGTTACCATAAATAAGTAACTAAATCCCTATCTATATTTTGAGTACGTGCCTCCAATACCTACTTGGATAGGAAGTCCAAGCTGAAGTCAAGAGCACGACTATCATAAACCACACACTGCTTTTGCTGAAAAAGTGCCATCAGGACACCAGCTACTAATGCTTTCTGAGGGGAGAGGATTCAAAAAACATAGTTTGTTGAATGTTTTTTAGTTTTTTTAGTTCTAACATGGAAGAAAAACTCATTACAGCGGCAAGACAAATGTTAATATCCTACTTTGTACCAGCACGTAAAAACTACCTGAAAGAGGGTGGGGTAATTTTGCAGAAATAGTAGTTAATGTCTAGAAAATACATGTATTCCCATGATTTGAACAGTCCAAAGCCTTTCTTCCGTAGGCTAAATCTCAGCCAAAGAATGGGAGAGAAATCAGGAAAAACCTCAAGCAGCTAATAATGGAAAGAATACGCGTTCAAAATGCTAACAGAAACAAAATCCTACTCGGCACAGACCCTTTATGTGCCTTTTTAAGTGGTACAAATTCCAGAGAGTTCAGTAATCAGGACAGAAAACCAAAGGAATTGGACTTTATCTCCTTCCTTCAGAAATAAGGAAATAAACCCCAAATAATCTGATCAAAAATCACAGGAACTACAAAAGCCTGAGCTTTTTGCCTTTCTGCTGACATTTAATTAATTTCCCCTAAAACAAGAGCTGTCTGTCCCAGTAAGCTAGAAATAACTGGGCTCATTAAAGCCTGCTTCATTAAGTTGAGCATTAAACATATACATTCCCTTTGACAGAAGAAGCACGAGTTATTTAAACCTTACAAGCACACCTTTTTCTCTTCCAACTCTGCTTTCAAGGAACCCAACTCCTCCTGGCACTTTTCCAGAGGCAGGATTTTCTGTAGCATCTGCTCCACTTGGCAACGAAGAGCAGAGATCTCTCTGAAATGGGAAATGTAATTAAAAAAAAGTTGCCAAAAAACATAGGTGCTCTCAGTCTCCGTGTTCTGATTCTTTGGGCAAGTGTCTGAGTATTTTGCTTTCCCCTATGGAAAAATGCTGTGAGACATACCCAAAGGTATTTATAGAATCATGGAATGGTTTGGGTTGGAAGGGACCTCAAAAATCATCCAGTTCCAACCCCCCTGCCATGGGCAGGGACACCCTCCACTACACCAGGTTGCCCAAAGCCTCATCCAACCTGGCCTTGAACACTTCCAGAGATGGGGCAGCCACAGCTTCTCTGGGCAACCTGTTCCAGTGCCTCACCACCCTCCGAGCAAAAAATTTCTTCCTTAAATCTCATCGAAATCTCCCCTCTCTCAGTTTAAAGCCATCACCCCTTGTCCTGTCACTACATGCCCTTGTAAAAAGTCCCTCTCCACCTTTCTTGTAGCCCCATCTTGTAGTGTGACCATCCAGCCAATTCCTTATCCACTGAGTGGTCCATCCATCAAAACCATGTCTCTCCAGTTTAGAGACAAGGATGTCATGCAGGACAGTATAAAATGCTGTGGATAAGTCCAGGTAGTTGATGTCAGTTGCTCTTCCCCTATCCATCAATGCTGCAGACCCATCATAGAATGCCACCAAATTAGTCAGGCAGGATTTGCCGTTAGTGAAGCCATGTTGGCTGTCACCAATCACCTCCCTATTTTCCATGTCCCTTAGCATAGTCGCCAGGAGGATCTGCTCCATGATCTTGCCGGGCACAGAGGTGAGACTGACTGGCCTGTAGTTCCCTGGGTCTTCCTTTTTTTCCCTTTTTAAAGATGGGGCCTATGCTTCCGCTTTTCCAGTCAGCAGTAATTTCCCCAGACAGCCATGACTTCTGAAATATGATGGATTGTGGATGAGAAGCTCAACATGAGCTGGCAATGTGCGCTGGCAGCCCAGAAAGCCAATCGTATCCTGGGCTGTATCAAAAGGAGCGTGGCCAGCAGGTCGAGGGAAGTGATTCTGCCCCTCTACTCTGCTCTCGTGAGACCCCACCTGGAATACTGTGTTCAGCTCTGGAGTCCCCAGCACAAGAAGGACATTGAGCTACTGGAACGAGTCCAGAGGAGGGCCACGAAGATGATCCCAGGGCTGGAGCACCTCTCCTATGCAGACTGGCTGAGAGAGTTGGGGCTGTTCAGCCTGGAGAAGAGAAGGCTCTGGGGGGACCTTATAGCAGCTTTCCAGTACCTAAAGG